GTTACACTCGGCCCTAGTGAAGTTTATTGAGAGTAAACTCAATTACTACATGTGTCAGTGTGTAATCATTTCTGCATGTGTGTAATTGCTTAATTCTGTTGCATGGCTATATGTACATTTCAATGTGTTTGGTATGTACATTTGCATGAATTTGAGAGCAATTTAATTACTTGGTGTAATTGTTTGTATGTATAATAGGTTAAGATGCATTAGCAGTATGTTGTATGTCTATTGATGAGATAGAGTATAGATGCCTATGGTACATTGGTGGTTTGTACCAGGATGTGGAATGTGACATTTGGATCAAGAGTGGGTAGGTGATTAAATGTTGGAATCTTTTATCTGTGAAGAGACCCTGATCAGGTGGAGTATAAGAGAAACACTTCTATCACTTCTGTTACATGGAGACCCATTATCCACTTAGGTTGGGATAAATGATGTGGTGATAGAAGATTATTTCGGGGACTTAGGATCTATAGAGGTCTACCGGTTATATTTGAGTGGAGCGATCAGTCTAGTGAGCTTGATGGGTGATGAGGTCAGATATATGTTCTCAAGGTATGAGCAACACGGAATGAGATATGATAGGTGTGGTGAGATCTTTTCATGGGGTCATTTAACTTAGTGTTAATATGTTGTTCTGTGTTAACGTATTTTTGGAAAAGATCTATGGATTATTCTATGTTATATCTCCATCTATGATTATTTGTTCTTAATTGATTACTATGATTATCTGCTTCTACTTGGTTATTTGTTTGTGATCTTAACCTTGGTGACATGGAGCAGGTATGGTATGTGTTTTGGGTCCGAAACTAGAGGTAAGGTCTGTAATTCCAATTTTATTGATTGCCTTGATTATCCAAGCGTTAACTTTGTATTTTGATTGTTTACAGGTTAATTGGATATCAAGGTGGAGATTTGTTGGGTTTTGATATCCAATGAATTCCAGGCAATGATGTAAACGTTTGATTAAATTTTTACCAACGACCAGTCTAAAGGCTCAACCCGAACACAACGTGAGCCGTTGAAGTAACTTAAATAATTAATGTTGCTCATAGCCCATTTATATTACCTCGGATGGCTTTGAATTTTGGCTCATTTAATCTCTTTTATTGGTTCAACTAAAGTCTAACTTAACCTATATAGATGGTGTTTTTACCCTAGCCCTTTTTGTGGGTGATTTGCTTGAAAAGAGAAGAAAGAAACCGTGTGAGGAAGAGAGAAAACCAGCAGCCCCTTTGGGAGGAAAAAAAATGTGTGGCTTCCCTTTGTATTTTGGTCTCGTTTCTTACCTTTTTTTCATTGTTTTTCTTCTTGCCTTTGTGGCTATAAATCATCACCATTACCTTGTCATTGTGGGTGAGATTGAGAAGCAACCGATGTGAATATATTGGTTGTGGATTAGAATCGTGGAGATTGATTGTTTGGTATAGAAAGGTAACGAAAACTGAGCTCGAAAAACATCGTTTTGACTGTCCTTGGAGCAAGCTTCTGCGACATGCACCCAAATATTACTACTTTTTAATAACAATATGCAAGAATTAAAAAAAAAAAAAACTTAACAAATTATATGAAGGACCTGTTTAACGTGACTTTTGAGAAATCAAAATGAACTTTTGAGATCACTCATCATAATAATCTACAATCAATTGCCACGTGATTTATGTAGAACTCATCATGGTGACATCGAGGTAAACTACCAGTAAGTACCGCAAGGGAGTTTGTGAATATTAGATTACACTGCCCAACTCAACTAAGGCTTGCAAGACCCAAAGCCGCCACGTAAATAGTTATAATGCCACCAACCTGAATCCTAATTCCACTCTCATGTCCAACCATGTAAAGAGAAAGTAAAACAGTCGAACTTAATTCAAGTTTGGGGAAATTCCTCCTCAGATCTCGACAAGTCAATGGTTTTTTAAAAGAAAAAGAATCTAAATATGTCTTCTCCTATCGCTTTAGTGGCTTAATTTGTCCTAGTTGTTCAATGCTAATTGATGCGTTGTGCTAATTTTCTGTTTCTAGAGACATAACTCAGTTTGGATGGTAAGATTCAGCAATGAAATATAATTGATATTACAACCAAAAAAGAAAGAACAGTAAAGTTCAATGCTCTATATGGTAACTATCACAATTGGATTGTGCAATTTACTATGACCTCCTCTAGACTAGTTTCTTAATGAATTTTATTAGCGAAATTGGCACTTGGAGGCTTACCTTTAAATTTTGGAGTAAATGGTCCCGACATTTTGTATTCTTGGTACAATTGGTCCTTTTGAATGGAGGCCAGTTAGTTTTGTTTAGGGTTGGACAAAAGTCCCGAACCGAACCGAACCGAATCGAATCGAGCGGTTCTTCATAAATTAAATACTTGGACAGGTATTTGAATCGAGAACCGATGTATTTGGTTCGGTTCTCAGTGCTAGGCCAAGAACCGAATAAAAATCGAATCTAAATAATTTTTTTATTTTTTATATTAAATTAATTAAATAATTTTAATTTTTTCTAAACAAATTAACAAATTTAAATACTTTTATACTTTTTGGTATTTGTATATATTGAATTAATCCTATTGGACAGAAACAATAAATATACAAAAATTTAACTCAATACAATTAAACATTATCAATGAAATAAACATGTTATTAGTTATATTTATGTAATATTGTTGTAAATGTTAAAAAATTTAATTATGGTACGGAATCGAACGGAACCGAATCCGAACGGTTCCATAATTATATTTGGACCCGACTATTCCATTTATTAAATACCCGAAAATTTTGGGTCGATTCGATTCTGAAGAGAACCGAACCGAACCAGACCATGTCCAGCCATAGTTTTGTTCATGAAATGCACTTTATTTTAAAGATAAATTTCATATGAAGTCTCAACCTTTACAAAAGTAACAATCTTGTACTTCAACAAATTTGTGTCCAGTCTTTGTTCTCAAGGTTAAGATTGGGACTAAATATGCAATTTATCTTTAAAAGAAAGTGCATTTAAACTCAAAACCATCAGTTATTTTGGATAAAAACCATTCAAAAAGACATTGTGTGAAGAACACAAAGGCTTGGGGCAGCCATTTGCACCGAGATTTAAAGGTTTGGACAAAAAAATGATGGACAAATGTTCGAATCCGTTCGTATTAATTTCCTTTTCTATTGCAATTTACTTAGTATTAATCGAAAAGTTTATAGGGGGCACAGTCACATGCATGTATATTCATAATATATGATGTTGGAAAACTTTAAATGGTATGCTTGGGATATTAGAGTTAGTCTATAGGTTAGACAAATACCATTTTTATGTCTCTGTTCTTTAATGATGTTTAGTACACACGATGTTGTATTTAACATTGCATCTTCTCGAACAAAAGGTTTTTATTGTCCTTTTTTCTTTAATTTGAAATCCTCCAAAAGTCTTAAAACATGGAGTTTTGAACACCAAAGTTGTATTTACAATTCTTTTAAATTTTTACCTTTTCTTTAATATCTTTAGAACTCATCTTTTCTTATGCTAGAGTATTGTTATATTATTAAGATCAGACTACACAATTTTATAGAATTCTGCATAATTGAGTTCAAGTCAAGTCGAGCTCGTCGAGTCGAGTCCATCTAACACTCATACTATTAGGACACGTGCGACGGTGCGAGGTGGATTTTGTAAAGGGGTACTCTCAGTAAGTGTGTAGGAGTCCTAGTTAATACCAAAATGTAGATTTAAAATTGTTAAATTAATAAAATCAAACTGTGGGCTCTCATGAATTAATCAAAATATCAGGTTGAAACTACAATTTTTTCTTGGAAGAGAAGTAAAACAAGGTAATTTTCAACCGGCCAAAAAGGGGGATAAAAATGCACCAGCCGGGAATCGAACCCGGGTCTGTACCGTGGCAGGGTACTATTCTACCACTAGACCACTGGTGCTATACGGTTACTTGATTCGGAAGTTTAATATTCATAGTAAAGTCAAATTGACGTAACATAACTATTTTAATATTTAAATGAGTAACTTACTTATTTCTTTATTTATTTTAAAATTTACTCTTTTACTTATTAATTAATTTTTTTAAGACAGAGAAACGTTAACCTTAATGTACTTGTAAGTGAACATTTTATGCATGCTTGATTCAAATTTGAAGGGGCTTTCATACGAATGCCACTTCTTCTGCTGCCAAAGGATGATTTTATAAATAAAATGAGTTAACTCATAATCAACTTGTCTCCACGATTTTAGTGAAAGTTAATAGATAGTAAGTTACTTATTTAATTGTTGGATAATAGTTACTTTTAAAGTAGATAAATAAAACAACATAATCAAAAACTATCAAAGTCTGTTATCAAGAAAAAAAAACTACAAGAATTTGTCCTCAAAAAAAAAAACCCACTATAATAGTTTGTTTAAAAATAATAATAATTAAATAATAACTGGGGTCCATAGCTCAGTGGTAGAGCATTTGACTGCAGATCAAGAGGTCACTGGTTCGAACCCCGGTTGGGCCCTTTTTCCATTTATCTTTTTATCCCTCACATAAAAATTCATTTGTCATTACCATTTTTTTTTTCCTTACAAAGAAAATAAATACGTACTAATTAATAATCCAAAAATAAAAATCAAATACGCATGAAGACAATGAATCAAATAATTAATCAGCTAGCTGTTGTGATGGGCCAAAATCTGGAGAAGAAAAATTTGGCTAAGCAGTGAGGTGAAAAATTCTAAATGGTGGGACAGCAGATGCAATGACTCCTTCAAAAACCTCTATGTTTAAGCTTCAATATAATATGGGATCTAGTCCACATCTAGTATTGTTGCTAAAATGAACTAAAGCTGAGCTATAGTTTTAAGTAAAGCTAACAGCAATTCAAACTCGGGATGAGATGAAAGTAATCGAGCATCGAAACTAAAATAATGAAAAACAGTAACTCCGAAGAAATGAAAGTCAACAATTTACTAAAGGTTTAGGCATGATACAGTAAGGCATACCATTGAGAGCATCATTAAGGAGATCGTTTAAATATAATGATTGCAATACATATTACATAATAAAAAACCAGATGAAGGGAAAGATTCAAAAGAGCAGTTTTGAAACCTCCAAAAATAGAGCCAAAAGAAGGTTTCAATATTCTAAAAGGATCAATTTTCCAAACATGTCTAGAATCAACTGGCCTGGTGCATTCAAGGTTCACCAAGATTCCATTTTCTTGATGGCCTTCTCTATTGCAGGTACATTTTGGTAACGAACATGGGTAGAATTTTAGGAACTAGGGAAAATTAAAAACATAGCACCAGCCGGGAATCGATGACGTGTCTGTTCCGTGGCAGGGTACTATTCTACCACTAGACCACTGGTGCCATACGTTTACTTGATTCAGAATTTTAATATTCATAGTAAACACGTCAAATTGACAAACATAACTATTTTAATATTTAAATGAGTAACTTACTTATTTCTTTATTTATTTTAAAATTTACTCTTTTACTTATTAATTAATTTTTTTAAGACAGAGAAACGTTGACCTTAATTTACTTTTAAGTGAACTTTTTATGCATGCTTGATGTTTTCATACGAATGCCACTTCTTCTGCTGCCAAAGGATGATTTTATAAATAAAATGAGTTAACTCATAATCAACTTGTCTCCATGATCTTAGTGAAAGTTAGTAGATAGTAAGTTACTTATTTAATTGTTGGATAATAGTTACTTTTAAAGTAGATAAATAAAACAACATAATCAAAAACTGTCCTTACAAAGAAAATAAATACATACTAATTAATAATCCAAAAATAAAAATCAAATACGCATTAAGACAATGAATCAAATAATTAATCAGCTAACTGTTGTGATAGGCCAAAATCTGGAGAAGAAATATTTGGCTAAGCAGTGAGGTGAAAAATTCTAAATGGTGGGACAGCTGATACAATGACTCCTTCAAAAACCTCTATGTTTAAGCTTCAATATAAGATGGGATCGAGAGTCCACATCTAGTATTGTTGCTAAAATGAACTAAAGCTGAGCGATAGTTTTAAGTACAGCTAACAGCAATTCAAACTCGAGATGAGATGATAGTAATCGAGCATCGAAACTAAAATAACGAAAAACAGTAACTCCGAAGAAATGAAAGTCAACAATTTACTAAAGGTTTAGGCATGATACAGTAAGGCACACCATTGAGAGCATCATTAAGGAGATCGTTTACATATAATGATAGCAATACATATTACATAATAAAAAACCAGATGAAGGGTAAGATTCAAAAGAGCAGTTTCGAAACCTCCAAAAATAGAGCCAAAAGAAGGTTTCAATATTCTAAAAGGATCAATTTTCCAAACATGTCTAGTATCAACTGGCCTGCTGCATTCAAGGTTCACCAAGATTCCATTTTCTTGAACCGGAAGAGATAACGTCCATGTAAATTCTTGAAGGATGACCACTGATCGACTGTCAGGCTTATTCCTGCAAGAGAGGATCTCATTTTCATGAAGAGGTAAAGAGGTTCTCAATATTCATGCTCTCTATCTTCTTCAATCTTAAGAAATAGAAGACTATGTAATGACATCGTAGGATCCATCATTTTATGTACTATACTAGCAAACTAGATCGATGGATTACATGGATATCCTCGTATTGTGATCAGACTAAGTACATCTGTGATTTCTTTGTTGGTTGGCTCTACCAAAGGTATACAACAATGCCAAGGCTATTCTGACTACGTCGTTTTTATTGTATGATATCAACAGGGGAAAAAATCTTGTCTGTAGGCTCAATATTATACTCCTTTCCAGAAACAACCATCTTGTTTCAACTTTTTTGTAAAAACAACCCCACTTACAACAATTCGCAAAGCTCTTACAAAACTAATCATATTCACGTAAATCCACAAATGTTCTTATTACTAAAAAGCTTAGAATAAAGGATTCACCAGGAAACTAACATGCAAAGTAATTCAGAAATTTCTTGTAGTAAAAGCAATCAAAACAATTACCTTTAGCTGTTGGAAGCTCTTTGCCATCCCTCTTGTAATACTCCCTAATCGATACCAAAGTTTTCCCTCTAAAGTCCGATATTGTCACCCTTCTCTTATCAGATAACTATACCAAAATATAAAAGAAAAAAAAAAACATCGGTAATCAAAAAGAAACTCGAGAAAAAAGGAAATGTAAAAAGAAAATAGGTTCACACACCATTCTTGGGAATTCAGAATTGCCAAAAATACTTGGGAGTCTAATGCCTATTGCAATCAAGTAGCATCTCGTTCGATTTATGTTCTAAGAAGTTAATATATACATTAAGGTAGTGTTTGCCGGATTTCATGCTTTAGAATGGAAAAACCGACTCACGTTCAAGTTGAATATCCAATTTCAATGGCTGCCTTCAGTTCCGTGCAAATAAACAAAGTTGTGCATTTGTCAATAAGATTAAATCCAAGAAAACCAAAGACAGAGTCTAAATAAATATCATCCTAAACCAAGAGCTTAGGGTTCATATCCAGCGACAACCCCAAAATTTCAAAATTATAAATGCAGACAAGATAAACCAGAAACTCAAACCCAAAGCTTAAACTACCTCGAAGCAACTAAGTGAAGAATCAGCAATTCAGCATTAATCATCAACTAATAAATATGTAAAATTAAGTAAAAACTCACTCGGCAAATAATCAGGCCACCCTCATCATCATACTCTTTTCCGCCTCTTTTTCTATTATTTTCTTCTTCCTCTTCCTCTTCCTCTTCCTCTTCCTCTTCCTTCTCCTCTTCTTCTTCCTGTTGTTCTGCTTTACCCTGTTGTTCCTGAAGGTACGACTCCACTACCTGCCTAACGAACTTCTTCCAAGTCGGGTCGGACAGATCGATTCGCAGCTTCTCGGATGCAGACTTTCGGATCTTGTACTCCGTTGTTTCTTCCATGTTTGAGTTGTTCAAAATTTCCAACACCGTTTCCTCGACTCTTTGCTGGGTTTCTGCATCCATTTTTTTCAAGTTTTTTTGCTTTTTGTTCTTCGATTTTTCTGGGTTTCGGCAGAGAGAATCTTGAATGTAGAGAAAAGTAGTTTATATTACCAATTCTCTTTATCTCGATCGATTTGCAATTTGTTGTTCGATTTGTACCTTTCCTTCCCTTTAAAAAAACAATGAACACATTTGGTTTCCATGTCAACTTCACTAGTTACCCTTATATGTCATCTAATTTAGTTTTATTTGAATTTAGTCTAATCAATTAATTACTCATTTGGTAATGCCTAACATTGGAAAAGAACAACTTAATTCACTCTTATTTACGTTTGATTCACATTTTATAAACTGTTTATAAATAATCGCATATGTTCTTCCCACACTCGAAGTGTAGCGAAGACTTAAAGTATGGTGAAGAAATGAGTCGATGTTATTGAAGGTAATGATTCATGTCCAAAAAGACTCTGTAGTGACATATTTGACATAAGATGAACCTCTATCTATCAAATGATCTGTCCATTGGAAAAAGAGTATCGATCTCCTTCTTCAGCCCATGCATCTTGTCCGATGACAAGTCGAAGTATTCCGCCCCTTCATGTCACTTGCTTTCGATTCCACACATGGAAGGCTACTCTGTTTAGCTAGCGAGCATAGGAACCCGGAATTGACTATTAATGCTAATTCATTAGTTCTAACTCGAAATCTACCCCTAATTGTTTCAAACTGCTTAGCATGAATAGCTTGGGCGATCTTAGTGAGTAGCTCGGCTTGTGCTCATGCAGGACTTGGAAAAGAAAGTAACCAAGGAATTCATATATTAATCGTTTAATCCTGCTCAAGAAGATTTTTTGTTTAAAAGTAGATCGAAAATTCAAATAAATATTAAAGTAGGATGAGGTAGTTCTACAAGCCACTTAGCTAAATGAAATCATATTATCAACTGTCGTATGAGTCTATCAATGTATAACTGTCATTAATAGGCTATAAATAATGGCATTCTTAGCTAAAATAACATGATTCAAGCTGTCTCTATCGATGTGTAACTGCCATTAAAAGACTATAAATAATGGCGTTCTTAGCTAAGATAACATGATTCAAGCTTGAAAAAATATACGTGCTTTTTATAAGATGTAAATGTGAAAGTGCCTAAGGAACCACGCTAACCCCTCCCCCGAAATACACTTTATTTGAAGGACCACAAACATTGTCCATTTATTACCACTTATTTTTATTTGATTTATGATTTAAATTATTTATAAACATTTTTCAAACAAGCTTGCATATCAAAATGTTTCCGAGGCCCGTAAGATTACACATCAAGGGATACCTCATTAATCTCCTGAGTTCACGTTGAATTACTTGATCAATTTACAAATATCAAAATTTTAAAAAGGCAAAAAGTGTGACAAGACGACCATGTCAAGTCTCCAGGACATGTTCCACTAATAATCAGTCGTCGTGTTCACTAAAGTTCCACTTGAACAAAAAAGAAGCAAAATCTTCATCTGTGCATGTATTTGACCATAAAAAAAGTTGTCAACAAAACAGAAATCCCCAGAAACTGCAGCTTCCACACAGATGGGATCTAAATCTGAAGTTGGAAAAAGAAAGAAATTACTAAGATCCCCCAAGAAATCGCAAAGGATTTTCTTAGAGTCATTTCTAATAGTCATGACCAATAATAAAAGAGAAAACTGTACCAATTTTCAGTTTCATACTAAATTTTAGAATCTTCCTTGTCATGCTTGCTGCAGAAATTGTTGCTCGCCACCTCCATGAATGAGCAATACAGAGCTGTGATGGTGCACCATGTACCACCTCCCGTTATGAAACTCGTAAACATTAGTCACGGTGAATGGCCCAGTCTCCATGTCCAGATAAGCTTTCATGGTAACCCAAGCCATATCTGTCAGTACCCGCGCTCTTACATCTCGAATCTGGAAATCAGCAATATTCTCCCAGCTGAATGCTAGTTGCCAGCTTTCCATAACTGCATTATAACTGCAACGAGAAAGGAAAAGGATTTATATTAATACGAATCAAACGTAAGAAACTAATGGAACAAATGTTGAGAAGGGAAACTTTCCAGCATGAGAGGCGTTCACCAATTTATATCAACACAAAGATTTGGTCCTAACCCTATCAAGGGAGGTCCAAAGCCCCTTCTGGTAACTTCAAGAACTTCCACTAGAAGACAAAATTCCTTTTAGCGTACACATTTTTCTTACTTGTGTTATATTGTTGTTATTACTACTGATGTTATATTTTGAACAATACCATCTTCAACTTAATCATTGTGAATTATTTTATACGTGCGGAAAGGATGCTAGGAAGTTGGTCAATTACATAAAAACATTCAGCATAATGCGATAATGAGAAATAGATCACCAAGAGATGGGAGACACAAAACAAAAATTTGCAAGCAGCATGCAAGAACAAGAGGTGTAATTGAAATTCCAATGAAGAGCGCTTCTTAGAAACCATTGTTATCTCAAATTTTCACATGTGAAAGAAAACATCAGAACCAACTGTGGCTGATGTTATGTATTCGCAATTGAAGCTTCACCTATGAACTAAACTCAAAATAGACTTAGTGGGTCACAAGAAAACAATCGAAAACAGCATAGGAGATCTTAAATGAACCTTCCAGTCACTCTAATGACCATCCATGCACTTCATCCAGAAGAATATCTACACATCATAAATCTTTTAAAATTTGCTAGTCTGATTAAGCATTTGCAATGTTTTTAAGATTCAAACCAAACCAAGAAAGATGTGAAAAACTTGAAGCAACACGCCAGCACACAAATTGATCAGAAAACAAGCAAGTTCACAGAAAAAGAGATGGGAAGGGAATTGATGAGCTAGGATAAGGCTCTAGCTCTCTCGATGAGCTAGGATAAAGCTCTAGCTCTCGTGAGACAGGTTATAAATTACAGTAGATTAAATAGAAAGCCTCGTACCCAGTAAAGGACTCCCCAGATGCATGAAAACACTTGACATAATCTGCATTAAGCCAAAACTGACCCATTGCTGTAAGTAATCTTTCTCTAATGATTCTAAAAAACTCAGCATTAGTATTAACAATGGCTCTTGTAGCAGCATAGTAAGCCTTCCATCCATTGACTGGTGTCAAACTGTCCTGTTCCAAAGTAAAATCCTAGAGAAAGATGAAGAAAAGAAAATTAGTTAGTAACTGTTCACCATTTCAAGCATAACTTGAATGATATAGCAGCAGGTAGAAATTCCATTATAGTAGCGGTCACATCAAAGAATGTCTGCAAGAGTTGCTTAAAAGGTTATTATCTTCATTGGACAATAATATTTCAAAAAAGTCACTATGGTAATTGCAATTTTTTACTGAAACAAGTTGCAGTTGATAAAACATCATTAGGTGAAATCACATTGAGTATTTTAAACCTAATTTTACAGAATGAACATCTGGTCAAAAAAGGAAAAAAAAAAAAAAACAACAGTAATACATAATCAAGAATAAATAAAAATATTAAAAATCAAGTATACCATCCATTTAAGCAAGCATACATCGGTGCATACATACAACTACCAATTACTGGATATGTTAAAAGGATTGCAATTGTAAGAACCTGAGAAATCTAATGGCACTATGGGATTTAACAATGGACAATGGAAAAAATATAGATCAAAAGCTCTCCTCCACAAGCAACATGATAATCCCGTGAGTAGTAAATTACAGAAAGTTAAGCATCTTTGACAGAGAATTAGCTCTCCAGCATTAATACTCTTTTGGCCGTACATTTTATTTTCTCAGTTGTCAGTCAGCGATATACACAGAGAGAGAAAAAATTACCCATACAAAGAAAAAACGTATGTTCTTCCTTTGTGTACATTTTTTAGGCAAAAGAGAGAATTATGCTATAGTCTATAAGAAGAAAGGAAAGTATTTGTATGTGAAGCAAAATGAATTCAAAATTGCCTCCTGCTCAAAGGAGCAGGATGAAGGAGAACTTTATTCTCTATCTCGCCCTGCTTGGGTTGTTTCTCACTTTTGAGGTGACTTCGACAAAATTGGATTAATAAAGTCACAGCTCTCTACTCCTTAGCTAATTCTTGCTCTCACTTTTGGAGGGCAAAGTTTACATGAATTCCTTTGAAAAAGAACAAGAACCTGATAACTGACCTAATGAAAAAGTTTACTGAAAGATATCATCTAGAACCTACTTATTGGCATGTACCTTAGTCTCAACGTCCAACTCCCGTATGGTCATAAAACCTACCTATTTGCATTTACCTTAGTCTCAATGTCCAATTCCCGTATAGTCATACATTAATTTATTTATTTTCTAGACATTAATAATAGGAAATCAAAACCAACCTTAAAATAACATTAGCAGTCTAAAACTCTTATCATGTTTTTTTTTCCGTAGTTTCTCCCAAATACATTTCTTAATCAGAAAAAAAAATAATAAAAAATTAACTTTGCAACTTTTCCACTCCACGATCTCATTCCATAACTAATATAAGCAACGTCACACCAAATTTAGAGAAAGCTTAGCCCCTGTTTGGCCCCCATTTATTTTAAACAATAAAATGCATATTACATTAATAATTCATTACATTACATTAAATTTTTTTCTCTCTTCATCTCAACCATACATTCATCAAATAAAATAATAATACACACAAATCTAAAACTTTTCAACCACACATCTCTCATCAATCACTATTCTAAAAATTTTCAACCTCTCAAAAATCAACAATAATGGGGGCCAAATAGGGGCTTAGGCCACAACGACAAATAGAACCATAGGCATCACTTATGATGCACCAATACGAACACGTGGACAAATTTCGGATACGTTGACACACGATCTTTCAAAAAATTATTAACAAACACATTGCCGAAAAGTCAATTAAATTCTTTAAATTTTTCATTTATATAATATAAATTTAGTTTGATACTTGTTGTTAATTTTTCTTATTAAAATTTTTTAAATATGAGTACCTATTTTTTGTTTAATAATAACTTCAAGTTAATA